CAAAAGAAGATGAAATTCCACAACGAAGTGAAATTCCGTAACGGAGGATATTTCAAATCTTTTATTTGATGAAGCTAGGCTCGATCAGAAATGACCTGATATTCCAAGAGGTTGTTAAAAGCTGAACAACTTTTGATGTAACATTTATTTGGATGTTACTTTGTTTCATATAAAAGCGCTTAACTCTTAGTTACTCCAAAAAAATCTACATTTTTTGAAATTTCGTAATGGTCGGTATTTGTTGAATAACTCAGCTGTTGCTAAAGAGAAATTAATGAAATTTTTACTGGTAATAGCTCTAAGCGATCTCTATTCATGATAAAAATTTCAGACAGCTTACTCTTATTACCAAGAAGTTACAAATGTTGCAATGTGAAAAAATGATATTCTATAACGCTTGGTCACGTCGATCTGCAACTCTTCTCTTTAATAAAGCCGAGATTAAAAAAAATGATGTTTGTTTTTCCTCGATCGTGCCATTTTTGACGCTTTGCGTGTCTGTTAACACAAAATTATAGTCTTGAAAATTTTTCTCTCATTATTTTTTTATTCATACTTCGCATTATCTTAACAATGGTCTTCATTGAACACCTCAAATGGATTCGACATCATAATATTCTATGCATAGTTAGTAGTTTCTTTTATTAAACAATGAAGTAATTAGAATCATGTCGGATGTAATATCGATGGAAAACTAATTCAGCAAACAGCAGATATAATTATAGCAGCAGGTCTTGCTGTAGCTGGATTAATGTGCTCTGTTTCTTTTATAAACATGCACTCGACTGTAAGGATGATCATATGAAATAAAATGCGTTTGTATGTATGTATGTGACAAGGTCAAAACAACATCATAGATGAAATTTATATAGGCGTAACTTCTAAAGTTTCACTAAAGATAACTGAGGCCGGATTTTTAACTTGTGCCTTTCCCATTGACTAGGAAGCCGACCAATCAGAAATGAGCGTTTTTATTTTATGGTATTTGGGCCTTTTCATAAGGTGACTTCCTTGACTGAAGCGAGGATGATATGCAATGAAACCAGTTTATATGCTTATGGAAACTTCAAAAGTTCTCAAAAAATGATAGAAATTAGAAGTGGATTTAATGATTACTTTCTGCTATATGTTCAGTCAATAGAAGGTTTTGAATAATGTCGTCTCGACCAATATGATTTTTTCGAGTTGGAACTTTCACGAATCAGGTTTTTCTATAGCAAAGGACACGGTCAGTCGAGTTCGTTTGGTATTGGTTAAGCCCCTAAAAAAAGTCACTTTTCGCCAGAATCATCGAAATTGAGACAAATTCATGAAGAAATAGGCCGTCATCTGCTCTTTCATGTACGACAAAAATTTTTATTTGGCACCTTTTTTTTTCCAAAAAATGTTGAAAGATTTTCGTCAACCCCTATTCGAAAAATAAGCTGTTTTTGAAGAAGACAGTGTTAGTCTGTGAACTAACACACTTCTGGTTCACCTTTATTTAGACTAACCCAAAACTAATAACAATCGGTCCACATATATATCCTTGTGGATCACACAGATGATCAATCAATAGAACATAGAAGAGAGAGAAGAAAAGGGAAGTAGTGGACGAAAGATAGCGCCACTACCTAACAATTTGCAATTGCTTTCAATGTAGACCGTCAAACTGCGAGACAATTGTGTCTTCTCTTTCAAAACATATATGCTACAATACGTTGCAAACAGAGGAGTTTCAAAATACTTAGAATTTTTATGTTAAATACTAATATTTTGAAAATATACTAGAATATCTACGTACGGTAGGTACTAACATAAGATTTTCAATAATTAAATTTTGAAAATCATCTTCCGTACGCTTACAGCAGGTCTAACCAATATCAGTAACTGACTCCTAACGTATGCATTCACATGTTCTTTCATAAATTTCATTGTATCCTGTTTCTTTGCGTAGAATGATTGAATTGCTATATTATACACATAAATGATATGCAATTCTATCAATTCAAACGCTAAAATAGAAAAACTAGATAAAAAAATTTTTACAAAAACCTGGTTTCTATTAAAAATCCTTGGAGTTTCCTAAGGATTTTGACTTTTTGTGATTTTTTTCCACGATCTTTCTATGTCTATATGTTTCTGATCATTTGCAACTACTTTCAATGTCGACAGTCAAACTGCGAGACAATTGTCTCTGCTATTTCAAAACGTATCTGTTACAATACATTGCAAACAGAGAAGTTTCAAAATGCTTAGAGTTTTTTTGTTAAATACTATTATTTTGAAAATCTGCTAGAATATCTACGTACGGTAGATATTAACATAAGATTTTCAATAAATACATTTTGAAAATCATCTGCCGTACGCCTACAGCAGGTCTTACCAATATCAGTAACTGACTCTTAACGTATGCATTCACATGTTCTTTCAAAAATTTTATTCTATCCAGTTCTTTTGCCTAGAATGATTGAATTGCTATATTATATACATAAATGCTATGCAATTCTGTCGATAAAATAGAATAAATATGGAAACCTCGGATTTAAATCCGAGAGTTATGTGTACTTCAAAAAGTGAATTAGACAGATGAGTCATTCTGGAATGTGTGGACATCAAAATTATCCTCGCAAACCTTTTCTATAAACACATGAATTCTATTGGCTACTGCACAACCAATAGGATTTAGAGCCGAATACAGCTCAGATTTGAACTTTTCGCATTGAATTACCCTAAGAAAGTCGTTTTCCCTATAACTTGATTTCTATTGGTCCCTGCTCAACCAATGGTATTCCGAGGCAAGTGGAGTACAGATTCGAGTTCTCCGCCCCAGAAAACCTCGAAGTACCATCTCTGTGATCGAAAGATAGAGCTCTAATATGGGTCAATCAGAGCGTGGACAAAAACAGAACCAATTTCCGTTTAATTATCGTTGCATTAGGCGAGTTAGCCTTCTTGTTTTTTATGTTGTATATACCATTTTGTAGCTCGTGAAATTCTCTATCGAATAGTATATAATAGTTGGGGTTTTAATTGACTATGACAGGAAAAGTCTTTTACGAAAGCGGCGATGGGTCGATTTTTCCATAGGAAGCTATAGGGAAAAATGGGCATTTTTGCAATAACTCAGAAACGGCTCGGTCGATCCTTCTCATCTTCGAACTCGACCGAGATATTGTAAAGACTGAACTGTATAGAAAATTTCATCGTGATCGGACTCTCCTTTGGAAAGTTATCGTGTAAACGGACGGACATACTGACCGCTTCTAGAGTGTACTCACTTTTTGAGTACACAAAAAAAGACTTTTAGAGGAAGAAACACAAGTACAATTCTTGCTAACTTCTAAAGGAGTAGATATACATAGATTATATACATATATATCCATCATTACTAGAAAATTAGCTGTAAATAGGATACGTTCAAAATGATTCACAGGGAATCGCTCTTATACGTTCTTTTGTAACAATAATATGCCATTTAAACGCATTCAAATGCATTTTTAGAAACGCGTTTTATTCGATACATATTCGTTTCAATTACTAAATGATGTGTTTCAATGCGTTTTAAAAACTGCGTTCAAAGTCTAGTGAAAACATGTGAACTAGAAAAAATGCATTGAAACGCAAATTTTTACAAATTTTTTTTCATGAGGACCGAGAAGTACCAAGAAGTACGAAGAAGTACAGAAGTCCGCTTGTTCCCCCTTGCTTTGTATACGCACAATTTTGAACATTTTTTGAGAAAATTTATTGATACTAGCTTAATCTTACCTAATAAGAAAAATATGAACATTCATTCAGAAATAACGAAAAATTCTGATTCTGACCACTTGACCTTGAATGGTCGAAAAATGAGCAAATTTGTTTGTACCAAAACTGTTGCATCTTAGGTTCTTGACGAAAGAAATTTAATTGCAAATATATATTCCCCATTTTTCGAATATTGGAAATTTTTCTTGAAAAAAATGAAACCTCGTAACATATCTGGATAGTGACTTTTCAATAAATAAAGTGTTTTGAAAATGATTATCGAGTACAGATCTGATTTTCATTCTTCGTTGACATATCAATTCTACACTTCAAAATCACTCAAGTCACTGAGAAAGCAGTACTATGCATACATTTCAAAGAAAATTTCTTCGTTCAATATGTATTTTTAATGTTTATGCCGCTTGAATCGATTTGTCATTATTCTTGAGACAGAATGCTACCGAAAAATGGTTTATTTATCTCTGTCAATAATTGTTGAGACCAGAAAAACAAAATATTAAACATAGACTTTCTTACAAAAAACATATTCTATTCGCCAGTTTTCTTCCAGAATGTCTAATATTATTATATATTAATGTGCTTCACTTGAACTGTGTCATATGGCAGCTTTTTGTCCGATGAAAAAGGAACAACAAAAGCTTTCCAGGTGAAATTCAAAGAAATAAATAGTTTTCACTACTATTATATCTAATAGTGTTTTTGTTTGTATTAAGAAAGATTTCAATTCATATACTAGATTTTCTTTTTAGCTACTAAAACTGAGGATTCTTCATCTAATCCTTATCAACAGTTCGAGCGGATTATGTTTAAAATGTTAGTGTAAAATAAGACAGAGAAAAAAGGAGAGAAAGAGAAAAAGGAGTAACGTTTTTCGAAGAAGGACATAAGTTCAGAAGAATTGTAGAGAATAATAACAACACTGAGAATAACAGCACAGAATCAGTCAGAACTCACAGGATATAACATGAAAAACAAAAGAAAGGTAAGCCGAAAAAAAGAAGAGAAAAGAAAACACGTGACAACACAGATCTTTATATGAAAAGAGATAATGCTGGAAAAAAAGCAACATACAGCTATTAATAGAAGTTAAAAAAACAAAGAAAAGTTTAGGTGACAATTCTTATCGTTTATTTCAGTCATTGAAATTTATTTAGAATTCTTCAAATTCTTTGCTGAGTTTGTTCGTTGTTGCAATACAAACTAAAGCCAAATTGCAAATTATAAGAATAAAAAAGAGCAGCATTGAATTTTTAAATTTTCTTACGTGGTTCTTCTTCATATTCCTTAAAATTACTTGCATCACCTAAATAAAACAAAAGAAATTCATAAATAAATAAACTTTTCAATTCAACAAACCGGGTCCTTTTGTTTTCGGTACAAATGGTGCTTCTACCTGTCGTTGATATATACCAATCCAATTTGTACCTGAAAACCATTGATGACTTTGAATATCATCAACACCATTTGCTAAATTTCCATAACGTTTTCTTACATCAATTTGAAGAAGATTGTGTAATAGATCTTTTAAATCACTACTAAAATGTGATGGAAATTGGACCTAAAATTTTATTTCTATTCAAAAGTGTATTTAAATTTATTAAGTCTTCTTACTTTGCCTGATACAATTTTTTCATAAAGTTCAATTAGTTGATCAGCAAAAAATGGTGGATAGCCCTAAGTAATAAAAAACATTGTAGTTCTTTGTTTTAGTAAATAAATATCTTAAACTTACAGCCGACATTTCATATATTAATATACCTAATGCCCACCAATCAACTGCTTTATTACATCCTCGTGCTAAAATTATTTCTGGTGCCAAATATTCTATTAAATACTAAGTATTTTACTATTTGATATTTAAAATTTTTTCTTTATTATACCTGGTGTACCGCATAATGTCCAGGTTCGACCTAGAATTGAAAGAATATACGAAATGAAATTCTCATCACATATTTCATACTACAATCAAAGATAGTATGAAGCTGTTGAAAAAGAAATATAGGTCTATGTCATCACCAGAATGACGTTGATTATAATATTTTGTTGAGAGAAAAATGTTGTTAGTCAACTGATCTTTGATTAAGAACCAGCAGTGGGAACTGTTCGTGTTTTTTTTTCTCTTTTGAAGTCTAGCCCATCTTCACTATATCGTATTATGGCCCAGATTTCAGTTTGACATACTAATGTGTTTATTATTCTTTGATAACCATATTGCAATATTGAAGGAATAAATTATCTCATAGCACTAAAGTATTAGCACAAGGTATTCTCTTATTTTTCAGCCGTTGATGAGCAACTGATTAGAACCAGAAGTTTTCGTTATTTTAGAATACATGTTTAGATTTTCTTTCCAAGTATGATTAAACAACAATTAATAGTTTTTATGAAAAAGTTTAAAAGTCTGTCTATACAAAGCACAGTACAGTTTCGTCGCACTTCATATTTTGTGTTTTATAACTGTTACAACTCGCTATTTTTGTGCAGTACTGTATTCAGATATTACAATAACCGACATCTCATGTATGTGTTTACACTAGTGAACTAATTTCTATGGAAATCAATGTTTTAGTAAATAGCTCAGTTACAAAAATGAGCAGGATTCGCAAATTTCTCCATTAAGACTTTCGCCAACTGGACATTCGTCAATGGCGAAAATCCGATGATGTATTGGCGAAAGTACAGTGCACACTCGCCAATGGTCACAGGAAAATATCGATGTAGGATACATGTGAGGACTAAGAGTGTCAGAAAATATCTTATTGCTTTGAGTTATCAATGTGCCTGATAGAGAGGGCGTGGGTGTGGGAGTCGTCGAATTGAAGATCCACACCCACACTCACACTCCACACCCTCGAGATAATCATCATACAAATGATATGACTGAATAAATATCGGCAAGAAATTTAAAAGTATTCTATTAAGAATTGAAATAAATGAAGAACAGTATTTGCTTACGAAATCCGTCTTTCAGTAATAAAAACATGGAATCAAATGACAATTTTGCATGAAAAGTTCGATAAAGTTTACCAACTACTTGATACGAATCCTTTGAATTCTTATTTATTCTTATACAAATATTTGATTGGTTGGACATCAATCAGTACAGTTAATTTAATCAATCATACAAGAAGACATTCCCATAGGAATCTACCTATTCAGACCAAAAACTTGTTCCATAAATTATTAATTCAAGCTGTTCTTTAAAAGAAAAAAACAAGATCTCTTTTATGAGTTACTCAATCTTATTCAATTATATATTGGTTAGTATTCACTGGTTTATTGAATACTGTCAATAATCAAGAGATGCTATTCTTTCTGAGCAGTTTTAAGTTTGACATTGACATAAATTGTTAAAATAATTTTATACCTGTGATTTTTTTTGCAAAACTAAAATCAGTTACTTTTAAGTAACCACCAGTATCGATTAACAAATCTTCAGGCTAAAATTGTAGAACTTTTTTTTAAAAACGTGATTCATTTGTTTTCCTACTTTAAGATCTCGATAAATTATATCTAAATAATGAAGATACTCGAACGTTAATACAATTTGAGCTGCATAAAACCGCGCATGTTGTTCACTATATACATATATAAATAATTGATTAGAAATTGTAATAATTTTATTTGAATGATTTACCTAAATCGACCGACTTTACGTAAAAGACTAAACATGTCACCACCGGGTATAAATTCCAAAACCATGTATAAATAGGAATTGTCCTTTGAATAGAAAAAATTATTCAAAAAACAATTTCTCTTCGAAATTTTCTACTTTGAAATGATAATTCAAATTGACAATAAAAGGAAAAGAAATAGCTTGAAGAATACGTTTTTCATTGAGAGTATGTTCAATTTGTCGTAATTTAAAAATCTAAATAAAAAAAGAAGCTCGATTTTTAAATATTTTTTAAATATAATATTACTTGTTGTTTTTCAAGAATTTTCATTGCATAGAAAGTTCCATTGGATACATGCTTAACAAGCATAACACGTCCGAATGAACCTTGCAATCAAAAGATTAAATCATTAATTTGTAATTTCATATTGTAGTATTCTACCCTTTCCGACCGTTCTTATACGCTCGAAATCTTCGAGTTTGGCAGTATTCTAAATTACAATGAAAAGTATTAACACTAGAAAGCCTAACTAGACATTATAATTTTAACAAACTCTGATTACCATAACTAATTGTTGGTTACGCACAAACCTTACGCTTTAGGACAAAAATGAATGCTGTGTTTTCTAACGTAATTATGTCAAAAATACTCATATACTAACTGAGTTCTCTATATAATGCAGTGATCACATAGTCTCTAATCTGCATATGTAATCGTCTTGAACAGTACTCTAGTTTAAATTCTAATGAAATTACTTTGCAGCAATCAAAAATTCTCGTACATTTTTGTTTGATTTGAAGAGATATCAACTGTTAAATTTGCTTTAGAAGAGAATCTTCTCATGCGTATCATTCCGATTTCAATGATTTTTTTTTTCTTGCAATTGAATGTTTCGTATCTTCGAATCATTATGAAATTTTTAAAGTCTGAAAATCTTCATATTATAAGACCATCAAATGGACTTCATTTCAACACAAAAATTCATAGATAGGATTTTTCTAAAGGTCTAGACTCTTACAGAACATTCTAGTAAATAGACATATTCAAAATTCAATTGCTTGATTATGTCTCAATAGGAACTCACAATCTTTTTGAGTTTTTACTAGATCATTATATACTATATATACGCGAAACACTTAATTAAAATTCTGATGGAAGGAGTAATGCCGATAAGTATGACAAGTACTTTGTATATTTTTTATTCTAAATGAGCTTTTTAAGCATAGAAACTCAGTAAAAAAAAATAGTCTACTCTTCATAATCTAGTAATTTTTATCTGTATTGACATTTCATAATTTATTCAAATTCGTATTCGTATTGATTTTATATTTGTTTTAAACAAAAATTATCACAATAGCTTGTCTTTTTTGTAAAAGAAAATATGAAAAAAAAAACAAGAACTAAGTATAACACAACTGAATACGATGTTTATGATGCGTAGCGAAGAGAAGAAAAAAAAACAAATTTCTTTTTTCTCTTTTTTTTGTATGCTACTTGCTAATTCGATCATCAAAATAGACAGACATTATAATTTTTTTATTTTTCAACTAAAATTTCTTTCTACCTTAGGTTTTTATGTAGAGAGCATGTTACCTGGCTTGGTTTGTCGTATTTAATTTGAAATTTATCTTTAGCGTTAGCTAGAAATGATTTCACTAAAATAAAATAACAAAGAAAAAAAAAATATTTCCTAATAATAAATCATGACCCTTGAGTTAGTTATCTTGTTATTCGGAAATTATTTGATCGATATGACTTCTAATAATGCTTCTAGAAAGGACTTTAGTACTTATTTTAACAAAACTCATGATAGTAGTTCGTATTTCTTGACTTTGGGATAGAAACTTGAGAGCAGGAATTCAACTACCGGATCTGATCATAGTGATTCCTACTTCCAAGTTTCTGCTATTTTCTCGATTATTAAGGCATCTCTCCACCTCTAATCAAAAATTTGAATTCTTGTCTAGAGTAGCGCCTTTCAGATTTCGTACTTTCGAATGCAATATGATATCTGTAGGTTTTATAGAGATTTTCTCTGTAAAAACAAATACCGCTTAGACGGTGATGTGCGTGTCTGAGCTTTTGAAGTTTGTAACATGAAGAATATGATTAGCATACGTAAGCGAATGTATACTACAGTCACTCACACATTCTCCAAATTGATTACGTTCCAGGATCCAATGAGGGACAGAATTTTGATTTTCAGAAGTTAAAATTCATTTCGCGATGATCTTAAAACCAATTTTCCTTTGTCGACTTCTTGAAAAAATTGTACCCTTGATTTTCAGCAAGAGTACCCTTCATTTCTCGGATTTTTTAGAGAAGCTTTTATCAGAAATAAAGAACCACAATTTTGAAAAATCAAAACATAGTTTAGTAGTAGCGGTATGTTTTACCTATAGTTTAACCAGAAATCATAGTCAAAATTATTAGATTCGAAGAAGAAATCCGAAAAAAACATGAAAACACACTTTTCGACCGTTGACGCTAATAACTCTTAAAAAGTTCAATATATTCACCTAAAATTTTTACTGTGACCTATATAAACTGGGGCCAAAATCCTCTGAACGTTTTAGCCAGGTCTTTTGTTCTGACACAAAAATAAACTTTTGAGTGGTGGATAAAGACTCAAGTACACCTGATAGTCTTACGAAATCTCAATATATACATATTACTTTAGAGTTTCTAGACTTTGATATACTTTGTCCTACGTAATGGAAATACTCCTCAGAATGTCAATGTCGTAAATATGGACACATTCAATTATTAGCTATGTGACTTCTCAAAACTAAAACATGTGTGTCTCGAGGTAATGATCTTTCTTAGAGTTAATTTTTATATGTTGCATGTATGCTAAGTTACTCTCGATGCTCCAAAAAAAAAACAAAATTAGAGCTAAACACTTATCCAGAGAAGTTATCAGTCAATAATGAGCGTTAGCGATGTAGCATTGATTAATTTCAATTGATACTTGGATGAAGTAGCCAACATTGTAACATATGTTTATGGTATAAGAACTTATTCAGAAACATATTCCTTGTAAAGAATTGAAATCAAATGAAATGTGAACATATTCCATTGTGCCAGCAACAGTCAATTAATTCTGTTAATGAGTTGCACATATGAGACATAAAATTTCGTGGAGAAAAAGCAACTCTTAAGTGCAAAATTAAGAAATTAGAATATCTCATCTCTCAGTTCAAAAGACTTTAAAGTTAACGAAGATTGTTACTTTCGAAATATTTTCATCTACTCATCTAATTACTTAATTTATGAACAGGTTCAATGACAAAAACAGCTTAGTTTAAATTGTTAAACATGAAGAATCGTACACACTTTTTCTTTTTTTAAATAATAGATGTGTTTTCATTTGAGTTAGATATCTTTTTTTTTTTATTCTTCTATATCAAGTTGCTTATTCTATTATTGTTTTCTTTTGACAACTAGAAACTCAATGAAACCAATTTAGATGAATCTATTAATGTAGATACATTAAGTCGTCATTGATCTGTTTGAATTTTATAATAATATAGCTATTTTGAGATCATAATTGTTTGTAAATTAGAATATATCTTTGATGATAATTGATTTCTAATATGAGAAACAGCATAAAGATGAGTGTACATCACCCGTGTGCAAGCGAGTTATTTGCTGTATGTTTGTTCTGTCTGTCTTATTACTATCATGTCTTTCTCAACAGCATATCAGAAGTTTTGAGAGAATCGATGATGATGATAATAATAATGACCACAACAAGTACTAGTAACGATACTATAATAATCCTCAGTCTTTTCTATTCTTTTCGTGATGTGATTTTTTTCTAGTTATATTTAGTAAACTGAACACAGAACAAGTATAGGATTTACTACAAAAACTCACACAATTAGAAACTAATTGAAGAGAGAGAGAAAAAGAAAACTAGTTTAGATTCGTCAATATGCTATAGTTATGGACAATAACATGAAACTTTGTCATCAAACATAAAACTGTTACATATTACATTCATAATCGATTTCTACGTGTACACGTCACCATTATATTTGGTTTCTTTTTAATTTTAATTTTTTTCTCTTTTTTCTCATTTCCTTTTTTCTGCACAGATGAAAAATGATTGTATTCATAAGGCGAACACAAATATTGTAACATGCATTTGCATACTTGCAGTGATTTCTGATGGATGGCAACTTTTACTTTTCATTAAGACTCTTTACTTTTAGTCATCATCAAACGGTCACGAGTGCGCATGTGTAGATAAAGAGAGAATAAAACAAAAGATATGTAAACGTCAAAGCACATAGACAAAATATCATGTTTGATCTATTGGTGACAACATATATCTAACACTTTTGTGTATCTGTCAAAAACGCAAGTATTAAAATAAAACAAAAATAAAATTATAAATATTGAATACCTTTTTCAGCTGATCGAGTATTGGCTAATGTTGCATTTGTTGCTATCACTGATGACAAGGATTTATCTTCGTCTTTATCTTTATGTTTTGATTTATGACTTAATTTTGATGATATAAAGTTTCTAAGTGTCTGCATAACAGGCAGAATAATTTTTTCTACTCGCAATGTATTGTACTAATAATAAGATACTTCCTATATGTATGATACACTGTCTCTTTGTTCTGTGTTGTTAAACAAGCAATATCGGTAGGTTGTTATTGTTGTTCTATTTCTGGTTGTCAGTGATGATGGTATAGCGTATATGCACAGTCAAAAAGTAGTCAAACGAAGAGAGAGAGATAGTCTATCGATTCTTTTTTATTTCTTGCGTATGAGCATGATGCGCCAACGCGAGAGATATTTATAGAAATATCTTTCCAACACAACGAACGAACGATGCGAACGAACCAGTATGCAAATACGTAGAGAATGAGAAAAGAGAGAGAAAGTAGGAGAGAGAGAGAGCAAGCAAGTGAAAAGAAATAAGCGTTTAAGTAAGAAAGTATACAAAGAATAAGCAAAGAAGAGTGACTATTTTCTACGTGTATATATATATATCTAGATACCAATCCAGAGGCACTTATTATTTCGTTAGGATTGTCAAAGAAAGAATGTAGCTTTGTCTAATTTAATTGTCTATTTGTTTTTGCTTTTTGTTTGTTCTCTAGATGTCGAGAAAAGATTTTAATCATTTGATCAGCACCGCTTTCGCTCTTCACGAATTTCTTTTTTATATGTCGATACTAGAAGAAAAATTTGTTAACATCCGTTCTTTCTTTCTTTCTGTATTAGTTTTAAAGATGCTATTCAAATATACTGTATTATATATTTGATTTTATGATTGCGATGTTTAAATATATCTCTATATTTGCAAATATACTTTTATTCTAATGCAACAATACAATTATACTAAATATGATTCATACTCTAGGAATCAAATTGACTTCCAATAAAGATAAAATAAAAAGAAAGAAAGAAAGAAAAGATGAACAAGAATATGATAATACTCGGTGAAGTGTGACACGTGTGCGCGTATACGTGTAGGATAGTGATTATTATCTTGAATTTGCTGGGTGAAGTTTAGAGACTTGCAAAGTCAGGTTTTTTTTATTCCAAAATTCGACTCCCACTCCGATTTTAACTCGTTAAAACTCCAAAAAAGTCCGAAATTTGTTTATCGAAAACACGACTTCTAATGTATTTTACCATTTAATTTTGAATGTACATGGTTCGATAAACAAACAGAGAAATAAGAGAAAGTCTGTCAAATCATTACAAGATTAATTTTGAATTTCTTTTTTACTTGTTGTGTAGTAAAAATAAAAAACAATAACTTGAAAGTATTCGACATGTACTATGTTCAAACAATCGATAAGTGATGATGACGAGGATTATTGTACTTCAGATGACACTGAAATATTCATTGATCAATGGTATTTTCTTTTTATATGGCTGGCTTTTCCAATCTTGTAGACAAAATATAAGTCATTTTTATGTTATGAAACTCATTCTTAATATATGTAGTGAGCAGAGCCCCACGCGGAGTTAATTGCGGAATCGTTGTTGCAGTCAACTAATTTTTTTGCCAAAAATTCCAATTTAGCAGAGAAACTTTTATTAATTGAAGATTTTATTGTGTGATATTTATTGTATAAACTGATGCATTTTGGAGATTTCAACGGCGTCTTGTCAAGATCAATAAATATCAAAAACAGTCGGAGTCGAACAAAAACGGAGTTGAATTTGACACTGACTTATGTTGATACAAGGGAGAAAAAGAGGATCCTGGATCCTGTGGATCCTAATTGATCCTGATGGATCATAATGGATTTCTCTGGAGCCTGAGAAACTTTAAAATTAAGTATTTGAAGCGTCCCCAAAAGAGGGTGGAAGAAGCTGATCTAAATGAATATGACAGTTCATTAGGATTCAACGAAACTGGCAATGGAGGTATGGGTATTGTAAGTTGAAAAGATTAGATATTTTTACATCAAAAGAAAGCTCTCACCGCCAAACTAACAAGGTTAAAATATTAGCGGCCCTTGGCTTGTCTAGAGGGATATATTCAATTTTTAATGTACTCATGGTTTGGGTATTTAGAAACATTACGATAATTTGCCTTAATTTTTTATAGAATCAATATAAATATTTCACTGGTAGAATTTAAGGATCTTTCCGAAATTTATCAATAGCATTACGATCACATTAGTTTTGATGTCTTTTCGAACTTAAGTTATATCGAAATGAAAAAAGATATGATTGCCTGGAAAGTGACTAATGCGTATAATATTCGAACGTAACGTGCATTGATGCATCACTTGGTGGTCTAATAATTATTTAATTGTAATTGGTTTTAAAAATCATAAAGAAATATACTATCAAAGACTTACTCTCTTTTATTCTCTGCTCACTCTATCGAATTAAAAAGTTTATTTTTCAAATTACAACATGAACTTATTGAACATCGCTAAACACCTTCTTTATTTGGCTGAAACTGAATATACATCAGGGAATTCTGCAACAACTGTCGATGAAGTTGTTGCTGCAGAACGATTGTTCGAAGAGCTGAAGTCATTTAAAGACAGCTACTTCAATGAGATGTATTCTTATGATACTCTCGAATTTGAAGATGAATTTGATGAAACAGCTGATGAAGACGAAAATGATGATGAAATGGCTGATGAAGAAAGCGATGATGAAATGACTGATGATGAAGAAAATGATAATGAACTTGACGATTACAATGAGAAAGAACATTCTTATATAAGAAATCGATTTCCATTAGAAGAAATGGAAAATATAATCGAATGGGTTGACCAACATCCGAATGCTAGATTCTCTACTATTTCTCATCGATTTAAAAAAATCAAATCCATGAATTATATTCCAAGATTTAGAAAATATGTCGAAAACAACGGTACAAGATTAGAAAAAATAAAGCAAGTTAAAGAATTTATGTTTAATGAATTTTATGTGAAAAGAACAATTGAAAAAGAGGCCGTTCATGATGCTGATCTAGAGCTTTATGCAATTCAAAAAGCAAGAGAATTAGATTGGGATACATTCAAGGCAAGCAAAGCATTCATCGATACTTTTAAAAAGGAAAATAGAATATCATCAAGAAGATGTAACAAAATAATTACTCGAACGAAACCAAACAAAAAACATTGTAGTTTAAATGGTATGTAAACTTTTATTGGCTCTATAAGTACATGTATCTTAATGGAATATGCATATATTTTTTAGATGCTCATAATTGGATCGAAAGTAAAAGACCTTTAATATTAAAATATTCTACCAACGAAATCTTGAACAGAGATCATTGTTCATTTCAACAAGAACATGTACCTCCAAAAACCCTTTCTTTTACTGGTGAAAGAACAACAGAAGTTGCCGTTAAAAAGAAATATAATACAACACATTCTTATACAGTTCAACCAATCACATCAGCTAATGGACATTTATTGGACAAGTTCTTAATGATCCTTCAAGAAAAAGAAAATCAATTTGGTCAAAGGGTGCAAAAAAACTTAATTGTACCACCAAATGTTGTAATCAGAGCTTCAAAATCTGGAAAAAACAGTGGTGTAAAACATCACGTTTTTTTAAATGAAGTTCTACGCCCTTTGGTTGGTAAAAAATTTCTTCTCTTCCTTGATTCTTGGAAAATTCAAGCTGATCTAACAAAATTTAGAGCAGTATTTCCTAATTAAGACAGTCAATTGTTGATTTTTCCTGAAGGATCAACCGGCTATATTCAACCACAAGATCTTTCTTTGTTTCGTTCATGGCGATTTATTCATGAAAAAATCGAACATTATGTCCATATTAATAGAACAGAAATGACTATAACTGTTCGTCAATATTTCATCAACATGCATGCTGTTATTCACAACCAATTATCAGCTCCACAATTTAAAAATCTCATTAAAAATGGATTTATACTAGCTCGAATAACAAATGAAACAATTGGACACATTGAAAAACCAAAAGATGTTTGCTTCAGATTTTATGATCTTTACTGTTCAATTAACAATTGCAGTGAACGAACATTATTAATGTGTGCTTGGTGTAAAAAGACTCTTTGTTATTACCACCTGGTTGAAGATCTACATCTGCACTTGTAATGAATTTCTCAAAATAGTCTATTTTATGATCTATTGTTTTCAATTAAAATAAAATGGGAACTATTGCTAATTTGCAGATATTGATAACTATTAGCTGGCCTTCATCTATAGCAATACTACTTAAGTTCAAAGAGACATTAAAACTAATGTGATCGTAATGCTATTGATAAATTTCGGAAAGATCCTTAAATTCTACCAGTGAAATATTTATATTGATTGTATAAAAAATTAAAGCAAATTATCGTAATGTTTCTGAATACCCAAACCACAAGTACATTAAAAATTGAATATCTCCCTCTAGACAAGCCAAGGGCCGCTAATATTTTAACCTTGTTAGTTTGGCGGTGAGAGCTTTCTTTTGATGTAAAAATATCTAATCCTTTCAACTTACAATACCCATACTTCCATTGTTAGTACTGCTTTGCCACTCGCCAGAGTTATTTGCTAGACTTAAAAAATCGAAGAACTCCAAATCGCTAATTAAAACCTAAGTCTAAATGAAGTCTTGGATTGATTTTAAGACAAAATTTTTTTGTATATACTATATAGAAAAACACGACAGAAAATCTGACTTAAATTGATATTGATCTCAGTTATCGACGTTTTGACTTCATGATTATGAGCTACTGTTCTTGATGAAAGTGTGCCAAAAATGAGACTAGTAGTATACGCATGATTTGTCGACGCGAGAAATTAGAAAACGCAATCAAAAATTTGAGTTTCTAAGTGCTAACAGGAGAAAAACACATTTTATAGTCATAAAAATTAAAATCGATTAAAAAACAAATAATCTATTGAATTGAACTAAAAATCAGCAAGCCAGATTAATATTGTGCCATTTTTATCTAGTGTTAAGCAGGAAAAAGACGATAACAATCAGAATTTTTAGCTTTTTTTTCTACAGACGATTTTTGCGTGATTTTTTTATCAGGGTTTTAGCTTTCGCTTCTAATTATTTTAGGGCTCCTCGCATGACATTATTTCGTGTCTTTAATGAGCTCGTAGCTTTAAGCATCCTGTAAGACTAGGTGAAAAGGGTGGGTGTGGCTGTGAAAGAAGAGAACATTTACGCCCGGTGTCACTTGTCTTTTTCGGTATCTAAAGACCTGATAATTAATTTGTTTGAAAGAGTAAAGAACGAAAAATATAATTGTGATTGAAATCGTACGAATAATTTTTGTCGGCACTGTATTTACTGTTGTTTAAAAGGTGAATAGCAGTTTGTAACAAGATCTTTCATTTTTTTCGACGGATTCCTTTGATTCATATTGCCTCCAGCAAATATTGTTTATGTGCACTTAAAGCCTCCGAATGAAGAAATGACTACTGTCGTATTGTTTATAAGAGGTCTTATCATTATCTATCGATAACAACGAAAACATTGCTACATTAAGCAAATAACTACGATTCATTTTAACATATAAACGACAAAAAAAACAGGGTATTGCAGTTGTGATAATATTCGATTAAAATCTTTCAGTTTTCTTTTTTGGAGATATATTTACAAGAAACTATCTGCAATAAATGATATATTTTTAACAATAGCAATAATAATGGGACAGACGAAAAGTTCAACACATTATGATAGTTTCAATAGCGATGCCGAATCTGATAATAAAATTGATTCTAATAATACAATTAAAATTCCAAGAGAATGGTATGACCATCAATTATTAAAACGTTGTGAAAACGTTGATTTTGATGTTGAAGCTTGGTATGAGGTCATAAAAAGTGAAACATTTTATACGGAATTTATTTCAATATCTCCATCAATTGCTCAAGCCTTTGTTAACTTCTATCAAGCACGGTACAGTTCAACAACGTTATTAAATTCCAATGACATACAACTTATTGAATCAATACAAAATCAACTAAACGAACAAATATTCAACTCAAAAGCAAATAAATTTCAAAGTAACGGTACTTTTATTCGTTTAAGTTCACGAAGTCCAAAAGATGGAAAGCCCTTAGATTCTCGAAAAATCAGCCATTTCTATCATCTAAAATTAAACGAATTGCAATCCCAATATCCAGATGAATATAAATCAATTGAGGGTAAAGCAAATATGCAAATGATTGCTTATTGTTATGCTCAATTTCATTCTTTGAAAGTTACCGATGCAATTCAAGCATTAAATCTGATTCTATCAAGTGAAAGAGTTTATTATGATTTAAGAGAGGTACTTGATTGTCAGCAAGTAAAAGATAATAAAGTTGCTAACATTAATAATATCAAACTGCATGATTGGAATAATAATATTATCATTCGTGAATGGAATGATTTATTAGATCCTTCGATGGAATTTCGTTGCTTTGTTTATCAATCGAATTTAACTGCTATATCACAATATAATTATTATTGTAAATATTATCATTTACAAAATGATGAAATTGTTCAGCAAATAAAGACAACAATTGTTAAATATTGGAAAGAAAAAATTCAACCATCTTTAGATCATTTGTCTGAGAAATATTCTAATTATGTAATTGATATAGGTTTAATTGAAAACAAATTAACAAATGCATATGATTGTATCGTTATTGAAATGAATCCATTTGAAATTAATACTAGTGCAAGTTTATTTAATTGGACAACAGATAGCAATCAATTAAGAGGACGAGGCAATGAAATAGAAATACGTGTAAAATCGGATTATTATCCGTATATTAAAGACTATATTGAATTCATTCTTGAAGTTAATCAATGTGACGGAAAAGAGAATTCATCATCTGATCATCATGGCAAAGAACCGTATTTTGTCTTTTTGGATCAGATAAAAACACAACTTTCGTTATAGTGAATATGAGCAAGTCCAAATAAGCCGTGAAGGATTCCCAGATATGCTAAATCGATGATCGCCGATTTTCCTTCATGTCTTTTGTTCTCACATAAAGTAGTCATCGGCTCACAGCTCTCTGCTGAAAATTTAATAATTTAGTTTCATTTTGTAAGAAAAAAAAATGAACGCAGGAGAATATTAAAAAGAAATGTTATTAATGCTTGAAATTCATGTTTATTATTTATTATTTGCACCGTATTTAAACTTTTCGAATAAGGATTCCATATGGACGGATATCTTTGTCGCTAGGGCTAATCCAGTAATCACCGATGCCAGTTTCAGCAGCTGGTAATTTTACTAATTGTTCAGGATTCACTCGATTTTGCAGTACAACCAAATATTGATTTCCTTCATGTGAAAATTTGACTGCATATTTTTCTGCTACGCTTACGTCAGGAGTTGAATAAACGCCGTGTCCAAAGGCATATCTTTTACCTTTTGTTAAATTGTAGCCATCTGTCGCCATCGTTTTATTTTGATTAAAACCAGTTCCATGGTAAGACACAGGCCATTCTCCTTCTTTGTTATGATGACCTAGCCATATTAAATTTTCATATTTATCTGTTACTTTAATGGCAAAGCGTTTCCAGCCGCAAGGACGAACATAATCGATTCCACCTCGTCGGAATTTCCGATCGCAATCTTGCACATTTGAAAAATCATAATCATATTGTGGATCGAGACTTGAAAGATCTAGCGTAGGTGGAGCTTCAACACGCTTACGAGGAACTAGGTGTAGCGTAGCTCCATTATGTATTCCATAATGAGTTAGTGTTGCTCTGTCTTCTAATTGTTTTCCAGCAAAAATGATTCGTTGTTGGTCAGCCAATATACCTTTCTTTTTTTGGATCATTTTTTTAAGGTCCTCAATAGTTTTATCTGGCTCTATTTGACAAGTGATGTTTTCATCAGTCATTTGTTTAACGTATATTTCTATCATGTTAGTCTGTTCCATATTGCGGCCTGAGTAAGTGTCGCCAACACCACCAGATGAATATGTCGTGGTGTGATGATTAAATAGAGAAAGCGAATTAGACGTCTCTGAAGATCTGTTGTTCGGAACCAATTTCATGCCACTAAGCGCTGTTAGCGCAGCTTGAATTAAATCATGATTATTTTGAGTATGTTCTGATGATGCCATCGCAAAGATCAGGATGAAAACGACTAGAAAAACATGTTTTATAGATTATAAAATAAGAAAAAAAAACCTATGTTCAATAATCCTAAGTCTAGAATAGTCTGATATTACTCTTAAAAAGATTATTGTATAAATAATTGATGGTCAGCATTATAACTTATTGCGACACTCCTGTTTAAGAATATGCTATATATGATGTTCAAGCTGTGTACATCTTCACTTCTCATCCATACTGAGCATTCTTAATTTCTGCCGCCAGCTTACTGTTTTTTCCTTGACTGGATGTAAATAACGATGAGAGTTAAAAAAATTAGAAGTATAACGTAGACGAATATGCCCCAATTTTCAGCTGAATACATTCTCTGAAATATTCAATGCTCTGCAGGGTATGACAGCATGAGCCAACAATTATCCAAAATATAGATCTAGCGCTAATCTATATACAGCAGAATTGCCAGCATTCTTGGCGACATAAACACATAGCATTATCAATTTTCTTAGCATAACTCTAATACACTGATGTATGTATACTTTTTCGGTTATCATCTTATGCATTCGATTGCTGTCTTCGCTGCCTTTGGGAACTCATCGATACAGTATAACTCTGT